CCCTAAAGGGCTGATGTTCAGCCGGGGCTGCGGGGTAAGCGCAATGAGGTACCGCGACCTCGGCACAGAGCAGGAGAAGGAACAGGGGGGTTTTTAGTCAGTAAGAGTCTGACACTCCCTCCTGCCCGGCCCTGGGCGGGAGAAGTCATTTGATGATTTTCCCCTCACAAAAAAAAAAGCCAGAGCTGGGAAGACATTTGACCCCCCACAAAAAAAGTCGTGGCTGTACTTTTAATGTCTATTATCGCAATAATTTATGGAATTTCTCGTTAGTGTGGCCTATGCATTGACTGTGGTGCGCCGGCGACGGCAGAAAGAGAGGGCGATAGTGATCTTGATTCGCGGTATGCGGCGCGTGCACGACAACCTTGATCAAGGCATCGTCGGCAACGCGCTGCGAGTTACGGAGACAGCTGTTCCATGACAATACAGATAAACTGGAGAAGGAAGAACTTTTGACTTAAAACTTTTGTGCTATTTGTTTGGTACCTACTGACTATATTTTACTTCATATTTCGTGAAGACAGACTTACTGAAGAAGGGAGAACAACATGATTTAGTAAGTTTCGTGCGCTTTTGTAACTATTTTATTTAACTTTATTTAAGTATACACGAGATTAACTCTTTTCAAATTGTAAAAGAAATTGTGTAAGGATATAATATTGTAAAAATATGTCATAATTACTTATACTTTAATGTAGAAACGTTAGTGGTCACTAGTAATAATTTTCTTTCAAACGATATGACCATAACCTCACAGAAAACCGCCCTGAAACAACACTAACGTTGTGTTTTTGTCCTCCCATCCCCAATTGCCAAATCCCTGACCCCTAAAAGGCTTGCAACGCATTTGTAAAATCCTTCGATGTTGCGATTGTCCATTGACGGGGGGCGATTACCATAAGGATGATGATAGTGTGCTGACATTACCTCAAAAAAAAAAATGTATTACCTACTTGCAAAGCCCTGTTTACCAAAACCATTACCGTAACAATATTGAATAAGTTTTTTTTTTAATATAAGTTATACTTTTTTCCATTAAGACCACTTTGTTGCGTAATTTTGAGTGTCTAGTGCGTTATATCTAAGGTCAACATGTTGTCATTAGTTTATTGATTTATTTCCCTTTATTGCCAATATCCTTCGAAAGATGCAAATTTTTATAATAATCTTCTATGGCATTTGATTGGGTGTTTGATTACATTTTTCCTTTTTCATATTCAGTGACGTAATTTTATTGTTCCTATGTAGAATTTGTAAGCCTTTGTCGTCTGCGCCTATTTTAAAGCTAGGTTCAGAATTAATGTTTTTATAGATTACCTACATTTGGTTATGCAAAGTTCTAGTATTAGCTTGAATTAGTTAAAATTTTGGTTAATAAATTCAATAACCTGTTAGAAGGCAAAATATTTCGTTTTTGGTGTACCTAAGGGTTAAGAGTATTTAAGTTGGTTGGTGACCTTTTTGTGGGCTTATAAGTTGGGCACAATGACGATATAACCATTTTGCAAGACTGATAACTCCCATAATTACTCCTCTGAGAAATGTAAGGTAAGTATTTTTTTGTTCAGCGGGGAAATCTTCAAATGACTTCTCTACCCCAGTGTGAAAGGTGGAAGGAGTGTCAGAGTCTTAGTGACTAAAAACCCCTCTGTTCCTTCCACTCCAGGCAGGGACTCCGGAACGTACCTTATTGCGTTTGATCCGTTTTTGGATTCGGTGTGAGACTTCTGTCCTTCATCTTAATACAAAAACACAGTATCGCGGATAAGTTCTCGGTATTTATCATTCATGTAATGCGAAATAAGATACTTTGTGAAATTTTATCTTAAAACTTCACACGCTATAATCACCTCTTAACGCAGTTTGAATTCATTCTGATTTATGTGTGAATGTTAATATTAGTCACGGTATATTCGTGACTGTAAAAATCGGTTAAAGGTACCTAACCTTAACAATTTGTAGTGGCTATAAAATGAAATAATATTATTTGAGGTTTTGGTAACTTTTTTATTTGTGTCCTTATTGCTGACTTAGAAATAGGAATATCCTAAGTTTAAAATGTATAGTTTCGAGATTCCGTTGCACGTAATCCCATTTTTTTTGTTATAAACTGGCATTCTATTCAAGGATTTCGTAGTAAATGGAGCGAAAATTGTTCATAAGCTTTTTGTTTAGGATTAATTACAGGTAGAGGTGATTACTAGAAATGAAATAGGTAGGTATTTCTTTTGTGAATGCAACAGTACTTCTTCATGGAATGTAGGTACTATTGAACACACATCGTTTTTATAGCCTAAACTAAGAGCCCTACCAACAATTTTAAAGATGTTCAAATACACTGAATTAGAATTTGAAAATTTTCTTTTACAGTATAATCTTAAACTTGCCCTCTATGAACCGACAAGATTAAGCAGTCATTCTTGCATAGACAATTTTGCGCACTCCTATCAAAAAACATGCAAAGCAGAAATAATGGATCTAGTTCTTTCGGATCATACTGCTCAGTTACTCGGAGTACCGATAAATAAGATCTGCACGCTAAAATTCTGGAAAACGAAAAAACAGGACATTTCAGCAAGTAATTTATCCAAATTTAAAAATCACTTGAAGTGTTTATCTTTCTTACAGGTGTATAAAGCCAAAAATGCAAACGAGTCCTACGAAAATTTCAAAGATGACTTTTTGTTATTATATCGTTTATGTTTTCCAGAAAAAAATGTCACTCTGTATACTAATAAAAAGACTAAATGGTTATCGAATGGAATTAAATTATGTAGCAAAAAACAGAGACAACTACTCTGGGCATATAGACTAAATCCGAATTCGAAAAATAAACTTGTTTTTAAAAAATATTCAACACTCTACAAGAAAATAATAAAATTAACGCAAAAGTCACAAAATAACCATTTTATTAATATTTCACAAAATAAATCAAAAGCAGCCTGGCAAGTAATAAATAAATCAAAATACTGTTTACCACAAGAACCAATACTATCAATAGCAAAAGATAACTTAGTTTTAACCCACCCCATGGATATAGCAAATGAATTTAATAGATATTTTATTGAAGCTGTTGAAAACAATCTACAAACGAATTGCACGTCCTCAAAAAAACTGTCTAGTGAAAATCTGACATCTCATTCATTATTTATGTTGCCTGTTACGGATGATGACATAATTAAAATAATTACTAGCCTTAGGAATACAAATACTGTTGGACACGATGGCATATCAACTAAAGTAATAAAATATGTCAAAGAGATTATAGCGCCACCGCTGTCACATGTGATCAATCTCTGTATTGCAGATGGTACATTCCCAAATAGTTTAAAAAAAGTAATCATTAAGCCCTTTTTTAAACGAAATGACAGAACTGATGTTAAAAATTATAGACCAATTGCAAAAATTCCGATATTCTCAAAAATATTTGAGAAAGTAATCTATAATTCCCTTAATAGTTATTTTGAAAAATTTAAATTATTTTGTAATGAACAAAAAGGGTTCAGGAAAAATGTCAATATTAATATGGCACTGTTCGACCTACTATTAAGTGTCTTAACATCTGTTGACAAAAGAAAGCATGTCTGTGCGATATATACAGACATGACGAAGGCGTTTGATTTTGTGGACCATACAATCTTACTCCAAAAATTGTATGGCTATGGCATTAGAGGGAACATCCTTAAGCTAGTAGAATCATACTTGAGTGATAGATTACAATGTACGGAAATATCTAGAATATGCCCCACAACCAAGCTAGAAACTACATACACATCTGAACCAAAATATATCAAATATGGCGTGCCGCAAGGTAGCGTTCTCGGACCACTGCTCTTCCTGATATATATCAATGACCTCCCAAAATTTATAGGGCAAAAAATGGTACTCTTTGCAGACGATAGCACAGCTGTTATAGAATGTGACCAAAATGATATCAATGATTCCCTAAATAAAATAATATATTGGCTTAATAATAATAATCTTATAATTAATTTAAATAAAACCAAAGTAATGCACTTCCACCAACGGCTTAAGAAACCAGAAATTAATATTGCTTATGAAAATAATGAAATTGAAGCAGTTAGTACCGCAAAGTTTCTAGGTATAATTATAGACAACAAATTAACTTGGAAACCTCACTTAGAGGAAATTTGCAAAAGGTTAAGTAAATCAGCATACTTGCTATTTCAACTCTCAAAAAAAGTGAACACTGATACGCTACTAACAGCCTATCATGGACTAGTAGCCTCAATTCTGCGGTATGGTCTTATTTTTTGGGGACAGTCAACAAATAGGGAACTTGTTTTCAGGATGCAGAAAAGATGTTTACGGGCTATGTGTGGTCTAAAAACCACAGATAGTTGCAATCCATATTTTAAAAAGCTAAAAATTTTACCTCTGCCATCTCTATACATCCTGGAAGCTGCATTATTTGTAAAAAACAATCCACATTTATTCAAAAAACTATGCTCAGTAAAGAAAACTCCGATGCGTGCTCAATATAGGAATGATCTATGCCTTGTGAAATGTAATACTTCTCTAATGAAGAAAAGCTTCTTCGGTGTTGCTCCACAAATATATAACAAAATACCCAATGAAATAAAATGTCTACCATTGCAGAAGTTCAAAAAAACGCTTAACGGGTTTTTGCTTGAAAAATGTTATTATACACTAGACGAGTTTCTTAATGACGAATCACTGTAACCGTACCGATTTGATTTTACGACCCTTTGATTTTAATTCTTTTCAATTAAATTGACATAATTATATTGTAATAAATTCAAATATTTTAATCTTGCTTTTTTATAATTTGTATGCCAACTGGCAAAACATAGCGCACTACCTAGTTTATAAGATCTTGCATGTAATGATTACCTATGTTTTATTATACTGAAGGCTATTCATTTAAATAGGTTGATAATATTTGTAATAATTTTGTGTGGGAGACCAAGCTTTGAAACGAATGTGACGGCTCGACCGGTGTGGATACTACGGCCTCACAGAAAACCAGCGTGAAACAACCACAGGTTCTCCTTCTCCTTCTCCTTCTCCTTCTCCTTCTCCTTCTCCTTCTCCTTCTCCTTCTCCTTCTCCTTCTCCTTCTCCTTCTCCTTCTCCTTCTCCTTCTCCTTCTCCTTCTCCTTCTCCTTCTCCTTCTCCTTCTCCTTCTCCTTCTCCTTCTCCTTCTCCTTCTCCTTCTCCTTCTCCTTCTCCTTCTCCTTCTCCTTCTCCTTCTCCTTCTCCTTCTCCTTCTCCTTCTCCTTCTCCTTCTCCTTCTCCTTCTCCTTCTCCTTCTCCTTCTCCTTCTCCTTCTCCTTCTCCTTCTCCTTCTCCTTCTCCTTCTTCTTCTCCTTCTCTTTCTCTCTTACCATCATCCATGTATAGACATATCACGGATAAAAAAGTTGAGTCATTAAATAATAATTTAAAGCAAATATTATGCAGCCCATCACATGATTATGAAGGTCCAAGTGAGATTTATGCCAACTTACTGGCCATTATTAAAACCCAATTTGATAAAATATTCCCCTTAAAACGTAAAAATATTGAATGTAAATTTGTATTCTGTGACTGGGCTACCCCCGGTATTCGTAGAAGTAGGGGAAAGTTATTTGAACTATATGGTATGAAACCATTTAATACAAGCGAAGCCTTTAGCAAGCATGTGTCCAAATATGCAAAAATATTTAAAATGGTCTGTAAGCAAGCAAAATCTCTTTACATTAGCCGTAAGATTAAGAACGCTGAAAATAAAACAAAGGCTACATGGAAAATAATTAACAATGAGACAGGCAGACATAAATTGCATAACACGGAAATTAATTTAAATACCGGAAATGGACATGTTAGTGTAAATAGGGAAGTTGCACAAGAATTTGAAATTTTTTTCAAGAATATCCCCATTGAAACTACAAAGGACTTAGAATCATCTCCGGCACTTTCAATTAGTCTTCTCAAAAGAAATATTAAAGAATGCCGTTCTGATTTCCAATTTCAGTACACAAACCCCCAATCAGTAATAAAGGCGTTTAAAGACATTAAAGTTAAGTCTACAGAGGATCTCTGGGGAATGTCTGTTGCAGTGTGTAGGGCTTTTATAGAAGCTATAGCGCCTCATTTAGCTTTAATTTATAATAGAAGTGTAGATCAGGGAGTTTTTCCAAATTTGATGAAACATAGCAAAGTAGTTCCACTGTTTAAATCTGGCGATGATACCGATCCTAATAATTATAGGCCGGTATCTATTTTACCGGTGCTTAGTAAGGTGTTTGAAAAGCTGATGCTTTCTCAGATGCTGCGTCACTTTAACATGAATTCCATCTTTCATGATCAACAATATGGGTTCACCAAAGGTCGATGCACAACTGACGCCGGTGTAACTTTAATTAAGCGTGTTTTTGCCTCGTGGGAGGAGTCGCACGACGCTATTGGAATTTTTTGTGACCTGTCCAAGGCTTTTGATTGCGTCGAACACGAGACACTGTTGCTAAAGTTGGAACACTATGGTATTCGAGGGGCTTCACTCAATTTATTAAAATCATACCTCCAGGATAGGCAGCTTAAAGTACAGGTAAACAAAGTGAATTCTCGGGGTGCTAGCATATCTATGGGCGTACCACAGGGCTCGATATTAGGTCCTTTCCTATTTTTGGTCTACATAAATGACTTACCTCATTTATTTCAGCGAGAACCGGGAATGGTATTATTTGCTGATGACACATCGTTGATTTTTAAAATAAATAGACGGACAAATAATTATGACGAAGTAAATAATGCTATTACGAAGGTTCATAACTGGTTTACAGTTAATAATTTAGTTCTAAACGACAAAAAGACAAAGTGTATACGATTCAGTTTACCAAATGTAAAAAGTAACGAATGTGACATATTATTAAACGGCAAGAAATTGGAATTTGTAAAACAGACTACTTTTCTGGGTATAACCATAGATGAAAAACTACAATGGGGGCCCCATATCACATCTCTGGCAGGACGGTTGAGTTCTGCAGCATTTGCTGTCTGGAAGATCCGACAGCTAACAGATGTGGACACTGCAAGACTGGTGTACTTCAGCTACTTTCATAGCATTATGTCGTATGGCATCTTGTTGTGGGGACAGGCTGGTGACATTGAGTCTATATTTGTCTTGCAAAAGCGTGCAATCAGAGCAGAATTTACAACCTAAGGCTTCGCGAATCTCTTAGAGAAAAATTTAAAGAGATCAATATTATGACTGTGCCCGGTCAGTTTATTTATGAAAATATAATGTATGTTAGGAAACACTTAATATTATTTGATAAGGTATCAGACAGACATAATTACCAAACTAGACATAGAGATAGATTGTGTCAGCCATTATTTAGATTGGCAAAGGTACACAAGTCGTTCATGGGATTCAGCGTTAAGTGTTATAACAAAATCCCAGGCGAAATACAACTATTAAATGAAAGAAATTTTAAATTATGTGTAAAGAAAACTTTGTGTAAAAAAGCATATTACAAACTGAGTGATTATATTGAGGATAAGGATGCTTGGAGACGGGCTGGTCCTGCTCCACAGGATAATATACCCAAGACACGAATATAAATAATGTTCCAGTGGATCTTTGCTTGAACGGAAGTTCTTAGATTTTGTAAATTTGTAACCATGCTATTTTTATTGTTAAACTTGATAAATTTGTAAATGTGAGTGCCCTGTAACCTATTAAAATTAGTTAGACTAGCAGAATGTCGGTCCTTATGTCAGCTCGGAGTTGTCATGCTCACTCAAAGGTCACATTGGCGGTGGCACGGTCACTGGATCGCTCGATTCCCTATATTATGGTTGAGTTGGGCGATGCTGGTGTACGTGTCATGCTCGTGAACGGGCGCCGTCAATTGGGACTGGTCAGCTCCGGACTGTCTATTGTCCTTAAGGTTATTTTCTTTTTATGTTTCTCTGTATACACGCGTTACACTGTTCTCACATATTCAAACTAACTAAATAATGTATCAAAGAATGTTTATGTGACACTGATTTTAAAAGAGTAACCATGGAGTTTCTTGCTCGTTCTTCTCCATCGGAATCTACACTTTGGAACGAGCGAATAGATTCACTAAGAGGACTGACCGACAGACTGACACTTTGTATCTTTAAAGTTGTGTTGACGTTCAAAAGTGCCTGTATGGGTCTAATTGAAATAAATTATTTTGACTTTGAGTTTGACTTTGACATCAGGTAAGCCGTCTGCTCGTTTGCCGACTTATACAACAAAAAATTCAGGCTATTTGCTATACTTAATAAAGTTCATAAATTAATAAAATCTTTGCATTATATTCTATATAATCCTACATATCGATTACTTTTATTTGAGTACACAAACAATTGGATGTGTAAAAAACAAACAATTATTCTATCACCACTACAAGTAAGCGCTCCATTCACTACATTCTTAACGGTCCATTATACGCTTGTCTTGAAATAGATTCCAATTAAAATATCTCTCTTGCAGGACAGCACTTTGATAAATGATAAGGCACGTTAACGTCTGACGATGCGAACTTTTGAAGACCATGATTGTGATCAAAATGGAGGCTTAGCTTAATAGAAAATACCTGACGTGCAGCATTTAATTATAACTTTATGAAGCTTATATTCGTTTGTAGCGCTATTTGCCAGCAATTATTTTTGCTATTATCTTTGCATTGGAATGGCAGGAATAATCGTGGATGTTGTCATTTGAATAAAGTTAATTTAGCATAAGCAATAAAAATGGCGTTAATAACAAAATTATAAATAACTTAAAAAAATCTGCGTGAGACAAATGAGTATTGTTTCGTTTTATTGTCTCAAATGATATTGTAATAATATGTACGGAAACAGTGGTTGTTAGTTGAAAGGCTATAAAACTACCTATATATACCATCTAAATCTCAATAGAGTAGAATCTATTGTCGATTCTAGTCTTCTTGTTCTCCCTTGGGTGTCGTAAGATATGACTTAGCGATTATAAACACAGACAGAACGCATAACAGTGCTCTGTTAGAGATGAATTAAACCTACCTACGAAGTCTTACCCGTTTTTCTTACCCGTTTTCCCTCCTATGTAGGTAAGGCCTGCAACGGTCAGTCGGGAGCTGTTTATATTTTAAAACTAAATTATAATAACGTATTGTTGTAGGAACAAAAAGTTACAAAGAAATACACTTTACAGCAATAAGTCGGGTGTGGCGTGCCAATATATTCAAAGAACGTAAGCTGGTTTATTCAAGAACTTCTCAATTGTGTTGCTCTAGCCACAAATGCCGTTAGACATCGTACCTACGCATATGGTATCCAGGCGAACTACGTCCTAGATGACAGAACCAGACTTGAGCGTAAAATGCGTAGCGTTCCGCGCACGCCTCAAAGGCCTAACATACACAGATGGTGCCCACGAGGGCTTATGTTCGGCTAGGCGGGTCAAATGCAAAAATGTACCATGGCTCAGGCTTCGTGTATTTCTACACGAAGCATCGGGGTGGTTTTTAGTCTGTAAGAGTCTGACTCTTTTTCTCGCCTTGTCCATGTCGTGAGAAGCGATTTGAATATTTTACACCTTAAAAAAAGAACTTCACACTCAAGCAGGTTTAATTAATTGATCACTTATAGATTTATATTTTGTATTCGATTTTATTCCAAGGTCAGACGGATTGCCGTGTATAGAATTATGGATGGCATACCTGATAAAAATAATTAATGACTGCCATTTTATGTTCTCTGATGATTTTTTCTTTGACTTTCTGCTGTCTTTTTCTCACTTGGATCATTATAATTCATTAGCTATAATGTGTGCTGACAATTCATATGTTTTGTTGTGTCTGATGTAATTAATTTAGTTCTATTTTGCACCAAAAAGGCTAAACATGACTATCCTAAACCCTTTCTTTATTATATTGCGCAAATGTATAATACAAACGTATAATTAACAAATTGAACTTAATCTTTATCTTTAAAAAAAATCTTTTTATACTTTTTGTTTTTCCGTAATCTTAAATATTCCATATAAGCACCTAGCTAGATTAATACAAAAAGTTAGTAATAGTTATCAGGGATGGAAACCAAAGCAACTTTTGTCGGTACCTATCCTAGGTAAGTGTGTGTCAAAATGCTAAGCAAAAATATCTTTTTCTTTGGGACCATTTCTCTGGCATAAAACTTTCACAGCAGAAGCCTAGGTTACTAGTACAGGTAAACAGTAACTAGTGGCTAAAGTACTAGACGCAATGTAACCCGATGCATCCGTTAATGGGGCCGTGACAGTCCCCTTTATCTTCAGACAAAAGTGCACGACCAAGCCGTATTGAGGTTGTTTCTGGCTCAGATAACTTGTGCTTATTATCTGCACTTTATTACGGGAACTTTCCATTGTAAATAACTGCGTTGTCGCTTTGTTGCTTTGTTACCGATGTTGCTTAGGTTCGTGTGCGAATGTTTAGATGGGAAGCTGTATTAATGTTTATTAATGTGCGCCATGTTTGTTCTTGTTGCGGTTTGATCTGCTTAGGTTAAAATACAAAGTTTTTTTGTCTCATCGCCTAAAGATTAAATACTTTTTGGTGATTCTCAGGTTTAGTTGGTACTAATAGGATTGGAATAGGGGATCTCTATCTACATTATCAGACCTTATTAATGTCCATTGCTGAGCAAAGGCTTCTTCTTACACCGAGACGGAATGAGTATTAATAACCAAGCGTGCTTTAGATGGATTGGCGATTTGAAATTTATAATTAGAAATTATAAGCCAAGATGCCCTCAAAATGTTTTCTTTCACTTGGAGAAGCGTGTGAGAGATACAGGGTACGTGATGACTAGCCAATCCTAGAATAAGAATCTTACATATAGTTTAGAAAAAGTTACAATGGTACTTGTCAGTTTTGGATACCACGTCATCATTAATGGAAAGGAGCGCCCTAACTTTTGGGTAATTATGTAATTTATTATTGAACTTTATTTATTACATGGGATTTACCTTACACAAACACCGGAAAAAACCGGAGGCCCAATCCTTCCCCTCCCCCAATCTCTCCTAAATCCCTAAATCTCCAAATCCATAATCCCTAAAAGGTCGGCAACGCACTCGTTACTCCTTCGTTGCGAGTGTCCATGGGCGGCGCTGATTGCTTACCATCAGGTAATACGTCTGCTCGTTTGCCGACCTATTAAATAAAATAAAAAAAAACAGTAGTCTGTATCCATATTATGCCTAGATAAATTCTTGTCGTCCGTGTCTACTTTTTCAAAATGGTGATACAATGAGGTTTTATACTTGAGATCTATGCATTACACGCTGAAAATTTCCTGACTAAAGGAAAAATCTATTTTCGTTGTTCAACCTAAGTAGAGTTGGGATTAAAAGTGATTGACCTCGTTCGTCCGTGACTTACATTATATTTGAAATGTTCATAAAAATGACATAATAAAATCATTTAAAAACATCACAATTTACATTTTAAAATAGTTCACATAGAAATCAAATAAATAAAAAAATGATTCAAAGAATTTGAGTAAATTAAAATTTCATTAGAATAATATTGGTTGTTTTCGACGAAAATGTCACGCGGAGTGATTTCATCGTTATTATTAAACCTACTCGGGTCAATTACATTCCTGTTTTTTTTTTTTTTTTTTTTTTTTTTTTTTTTTTTTTTTTTTTTTTTTTTTTTGTGAGGGGAAAATCATCAAATGACTTCTCCCGCCCAGGGCCGGGCAGGAGGGAGTGTCAGACTCTTACTGACTAAAAACCCCCCTGTTCCTTCTCCTGCTCTGTGCCGAGGTCGCAATTACATTCCTGTGAAAGTAAATAATTTCGCCCATCTCACTGTCCTTTGTCAAAGCGAAGTTCAAGGCGACAACAATGCCAATATTGTCATGAAAACGATCCCCAAACACGAGACCTGAACCTTATAAAAGTTTCAGCGATATTTTCTTTTAATAGATCATGCGAAGGTCGTACCTTTTATTATTCGGAGAGGCAATTAACGTGACAGGCTCGCCTTGACTGCATTCTCTCAATTTTAGTCTATATTTATATATTTGTTTGTACCTACTTAGGAACGTACTTACTAGCTACTGGATAAATATTGTATAAAATACTAAACTTGTAATAGAGAATTGTAGATGTCTTCAAGGTTTTTGTCTAGCAAAGTTAAATAATTAGGCAGGGAAATTAAGTTTTTATAGAATACCGCGGAAAACGAAGAAATCACCTGACGGATGAAGACCCATGAGCATCCGAAACGCCAGAGGAGTAACAAGTGCTTTGCAAGGATTGAAGATTTGAGACCCATTGGTCTGAGTAGAGGGCAGGCAACTTCCAATTATACGGTACTTCACTTGTACGGTGGAACAATGGAACACTTACATCATCAGCCTATAAGTGCCCACTGCTGAGTAAAGGCCTCTTCTCACACGGAGAAGGTTTTTGAGCATAAATCACCACGCTTGCTCAATGCAGGTTGGCGATTTCAAACTTATAATTAGAAATTATGTAAGAGGTGTCTAAATAATCATAGAAAGTACTTACATATAACTCGGAAAAGTCACATTGGTATTTGCCAGGTTTCAAACCCACGCCCTCCTGCATGAGAAGCGGGCTCCAACCTCTGGGCCACCACGACACTTGGAAGACTCATCTCAGTGAAGAAAAGTTTTATCAAGATGTTAGATCCCAAAATTTTGCAGAAATGTTATCATATATTAACATTTTACGTCAAAACAAATCTCTGAACCAGTTATCGAGGTTATTGATTTCTTCACTGCCATCTACCTCAACTGAACATATTCAAAATGTCGTAACACCTAATAACTATATGATATTTAGGGTCAACGACATGACTGCGACGCGACGTGTAAATGTGAGAAAATTTATTAGGAAAACGTGGAAATTGGATTTCGGTTACAATGGCTTTGTACCTTATTGGACTGAAATAGGTGATGTGGCTTTAGGTTGATATGTTGTTAGCTGGAAATGAAATACTTACCATTTGGTTATTATATTATTATAAGTAGTATTTGGTGTTTAAATACAATGTGGTAAGTCGGCAAACGAGTACGGATACATTACCTGATGGTAAGCAATCGGCTCCGTCGATAGGCACCAAAAACCAGAGGAGTAACGAGTTTATTGCCTGTCTTTTTGGTATAACAGTTTTAGGAATTAGACGGAAATTGAGAAAGCAAGGGGAAGTTTATGATAAGAAGAACCTGTACTCCAATGCACTTCATAAATGGTATTAAAGAAAATAATAGAATAGGAGAAAATGTTTTCTTAAATGCTAGCCCACATTAGGATTTTCTCTTGTGTCATGAGTGCATTTACAAACATAAAATATCACATACCTACATGTCACGTCCAGACCTGGAACAAAAACTTTACATCACACAAAGAATTCTTCCGTGCGGGAATCGAACCCGCGACATGTTGCGCGGCAGCCAGTTGCCCAGCCACTGCACCAACCTTGCGACAAATTGAGACACCAACGTGAATAAGTCTATACCTACCATCAAATCAAAGACACCTTTCCTTATCACGGAATCCTGTCCAACGACATTCGCAATATTTTCCCTATAGAGAGGCGTACAGAATTAATGAGTAACCTAACTTTTATGTTTAATCATGGACTGTCATTAACGTCTTTATATCCGACTTCCGTACTTCGTTCCGCATTCATTAACACCTTTAGAGCTCTTTGTCTTTCACACGTGAATAAGTCGTTTGCATAAAGAGTACAGACGTAGAATAAAAAAGTAGTTTAGTTATGTCGTGTAAAAAGTTTTGTCAAGTTCTATCGTCCCCTTATGTGTTGTTAAGAGCGATAGCACAGCCTAAAGTTCTGTTTAACGTTCAGTCGGATTCCTGTATGTAAAACTTTCTGTTTGTTTCGTATGAATAAAGAGATGGTTGTTTTTTTAGATACAGTTTCTTTTTCTTTTTAGGGGGGAGGGCTGAAAAGTAGATCCCGGATCACCTGATGATAAGCAATCAGCGTTGGCCATGAACACCTGCAACATCACAGAATTTGCAAGTGCGTTGTCGGACTTTTGATGGTTGAAGATTTCAGGATTGGGGTTTTAGGGATTGAGCCAATGGGAGATTTGTGTGTTTTTTTTTTTGTCATCAGGCAAACGAGCAGACGTATTAGGTACCTGATGGTAAGCAATTTGTGCCGCCAATCGACACTTGTAATACTAAAGGAGTTAATACAAATGCGTTGCCGTAGGATTGAGGGTCCGTTTACCTTAATCACGCGACGAAACACTACTCCAGTGGTTTTTCGCCGGCCGTAGTAACACGCCCGCGCCGGTTGAGCCGGCCCATTCGTGCCAAAGCATGACTCTGCCACATATCTTACGGTGATGTTGAATAATATAAATATATACTTAGCAAAATTTGTCAAAAAAAGAAACAAATTGTCAAGAACGGCCAACTAACACCACTCTTAATTTGTTCACATCCTAAAATTATATAAGTATTGTGTTTTATATAAATAAGTGTAAAACTCTTATACCCAACTGCGTTGCGTCATAAACTGGACTTCCGATTTTCCGATCAATTGACCTACACCTTATTAATCGAAACCTCTAAGGTGTCATTAAGGCGGATGCATACTATACATTACGTACTTACCTTCGTTCCTAATTAAATGGTTAGTGAAGGAAGCAGCTGTGTTGAGTAAAAAGTAGTTCGTGCTGAGATACTGCCCAATAAGGATAGCCGGCATCTGGAGCTGCTATATTGCATGGAATGTCTGTGTCTTCCCGTCATCATCCTTTATTTTTTACTAACATATCTAGATGTATAGTTATAGAAAGTTTAATGGTATGTCGCGAGAAGATCGATCTTTATAAATTATGATTTTTAATATTGGATTCTTAAATTCTGAGTTTTTGTTTTATGGTATGGGACGGCAAACGAGCAAACGGATTTTCTGATGGCCAGCAATCAGGGCCGCCAATGGACAGCCACAACACCAAAGGAGTTATAAGTGCGTTGCCGGCCTTTTACTGTTTTGGATATTTAAGGATTGGGAAGGGATGGGGGGAGGGAGAGGGATTAGGCCTCCGCTAACCTCACTCAAACGGCGAAACACAACGCTGTGTTTGTTTCACGAAGGTTTTCTGTGAGGTCCTAGTATTTATCCGGTCGAGCCGACACATTCATACCGAAGGAAGTTTGGCTCAGGCTTATTGATATTGTACGAATGTATTTCCTCTTTGTCGATTTGTGGGTACTACATTTATCATATTTCTTTACGGGTTAGGGGGAAAATCTAACGAATTATTATTATTTAAATAACGAAGTGATCCACGCCATCTCCGTCATACTAGACGAGATCCAATTGCATTGCAGGTCTTAAAAAAAACCTTTCATAGGTTTTAACCAAAAAAATTGCAATAGTGTTATTAATGTTTTGTAGTGGAATGTACCATTGTACCTCGACAATTGGAAACCATTATGTGTTCAGAACTGTCTGGGTCTACCACATGACTATAACCACAAAACACATTAGCCACATTTTATAGCCCGGAGTTAATTAAGCTAACATTTACCCCAATCTTTATGACATTTGCCTGTTTCGTTTAGCCAGACAGAACGTTTTCAACTTCATTGCATAGTGATAAGGCTGAAAGTCTTTTGTAGGGATTAGGCAAATAAAGCTACTTTGATATGATGGTGTCTAGTACCTAATGTAGTCACGTAAAGGCTCATGACCTTTGTTTTATACACCTTGACAGTTTGTCAGCAGTTCTAGGAAAAGCTGTCAGGCGTCAGTTGTAACAAATCGCTGACAAAATGAATTTTAATTAACTGGAATTGTACCCTAGCCGTGTTCTGGGAACAGACGCTTAGGTATATTAAGTTAAGCTTCAAATTATTGAGTGAAACATATTTTAGTTTCTATGACGTTGACTTACTGGACGTTTCTATGTAGGTAGAACATACATAACAATATAAAAATAAGATTGTTTTATTATTTGACATAACATCTTTGAATTAGTTTACCTATTTTCTTTTTGTGTAATGATTACTAAACTAGGATTTTCTCATGACATGTGTCTTCGCGTTTACAAACATGCAATTTCACATAGACATCACACTCAGACCTGGAACAACAATTTGTTGATCACACAAAGAGTTCTTCCGCGTGGGAATCGAACCCGCGACACGTTGCGCGGCAGTCAGTTGTTCAGCCACTGCGCCAACCGTGCAGTCAAAAACGCTTAAGTATGTTAAAAAAAATGCATAAAAAAAATATGTAAAAAATGGATTGGTAATGTAATCAAACAAACATAGGCACTATAATAATGTCCCATATATTAGGTATACCTAATTGTAAACATTATACCTCATCAGTCAAAACATGTTCAGACTGACTGATTTTAACAAGATCTTTCTTGGATGCTCAATTCGGTATGTAAATACATGTTTCTTAAAAAGGAAATAAAAATAAAACTTCGTCCCAGCCCCAGACGCTTTCTCATAAGTCCATGAGTCCCATGTAAGAGAAATGAGCCTAACTAGTGCTTGACTGCGATCCCACCTGATGGTAGGCAATGATGCAATCGTTGATGTTAAGGCGCACTAGTTTATTAAGAGCCTATTCACTCTAGCCTTGAAGACACCTAAATTGTATACAGACGGAAAGTCCACTTTATATCCATTTTTGCTAGTTTGCCTTAAATTACAAATTATAATTCACGATAATTCACTTTGATAAAAAGTTACCGGCATCTGACGGCAGGCTATTCAAAACTTAACTATAAGTTTGCCAAGCTGACCTAAAGCGGCTAAATAGAATTCGTTAGCAATTTATAAGTGACCAATTGCATAGCAGCGCCATCTATGATGGCACATCGGAATTTATCAGCACATGTACTGGTTTTGGAGATTCAATAATAAAACAAACAACAAAATAATTTTATTGTATTAAAAAAAAATGAGAAGATCTGTAACTACAGATAATTACTTTAAAGTGAAAATTGATTTTAAAGTGTGCAATTCCTGTATAACGCCATCTCTGTTGTGTATCACGAAGCTTGACCGACGTTTCATAACTCATTGGCTCAACAGTTTCAACCGATATTTGACAGAGGGCGCTGTAAAGAAGTTTCTGATGCATTTTTTGATGATTGAAATTCAGTACTTTACAATAAATGTCCATTAATGATTAAGTAATATTATATTAATAGTAATATCAAGTATATATGATTTTGATACTTAAGTGCTAAACAAATTCTTATACTACTTTTTATAAATTAAAAGTACCTAAGTACTTACCTTGATTGTTGTTTCGTAGGTAGGTAGTTTCCTCAGTAAAGAGAAATTATTTTAAATTAACTTAAAAAACAATAAAAATGTCTAAAAACTATGACAACACATTATATTAACTATACATCTAAATGTTCGTACAATACAATTTTTCGATATGTAACTAATATAAACTTCCAGAAATTTCTCAAAATACTCAATCAATACGTATGTAATATCTCAGCGTATCAGCGGGTCCCTTGCGAATTTCTCCACGCACGTAGATAATTGCCTCGAAAGATTGATTCCCAATCAATAAACAGTGTTAGCAAAGA